ATAATATAGAAAATTTGAAACAATCTATTTGATTAAAACACTTATTATATAATATTATTATGTTTGAAAAACATTTACTATACATATCGTAAATATGTGATTACTATAATATATACCAATTTACAAGTGAAAACAAAATGTTTATATAACTATAAACGAAAACAAACACCCGCGCGGTTGCGCGGGTCAAAATCTAGTTTTAAGTTAATTTTGTACTTTCTTTTAGTATATGGTCGTGTCACATTATATCAACCATATACCTCCATGACTTGTGTCACATTATATCAGACTGTGGTTATGTTATGTAAACCATGATTTGGACATGTGTAAAGTATATCAAGGAGAAAATACACTAATATGTTGGATGTAGGTTGATTCAGCTATAATTCTGAAAAACAAAAAATCTTAGGTTGAGAAGAAGAGCGTGCACAAAAAAAGAAGGTTGAGAAGAAGAGTATATGGTAAAGTTTGTGGTTAAAAGGAAGAAGACAAATCTATAACGTATGGTTGGTTGTCTTCCATAATTAATAATCGATTACTTTTTATTGGCAGCTAGAATATTTACACAATCGATTACTTAATAATGCTCCACATTTTTGGTTCGAACGATGAGTAATATTAAATGAAACGACCGTGTATAAACTTGATGGCATAGTGTTGTAATTTTTGTGGAAAACTAAGGAATATTTTCTATTTGTACTTTATTTTTAATAGATTAGATGAATGTTATATTACGGACTAACAAACAATTGCTATACATAATACTCAGATTTTAGCTTGAAAGTATCTTGCATTCATATCTGCTAATTTATGTGACAAGTTTGTCTAGGAATTGCAAATTCTAATTCAAAATCTGATCAGACCATATCTAAGGAACACACTGTGTAGCAAATCGAAAACTGACAGCAACAAAAACGAACTAAAAAGATAACAGATATTGCTAGGGGCATGACGATGAAAATTCCCAGAATTTTCAGTTTTACTTTCCACCTTCATTCACAAACCCTTCTTTGCGACCTTCAAAGCCAGGACGAAGGAGCTTCTTCTCCCTCTTGGCGATCTTCCGCTGCTTTTTCTGTTCAATCCTATCAGCAATATTCCCTGATCTCTTTTGCTGCTTCTCCACTCTAACCTTTTGTTGCCCTTCAACTCTCTCCTTCCACTTCTCCGCGTTCTTCTCTTTGTGATGCTCTGCTTCAGTAGCTTCGGGTCATCATGAACCTTGATACCAGCTGCTGTTTGTAGCTGCTTGCCATGAGTGCTTCTTTGCAATGACTTCACCCTTTTCTGGATCCTTCTTTGCAGCCTCTAACTTCAAAGCCAGTTCAAGCTCTCTTGACTTGGAAAGCCTACGTTTCTTTTTATCTTTTCCGTGTTCCTCATCGTCATCAATCTTGACATAACCAAACGTAAGATCCTTAGAAGCTCATTACTCAACTTCTCCTTCTCAATCTTCTGTTTCAGCAAATCAAGAGTCGTCAAAGAAGACTTCTCAGACCAGGAAACCACATCTTCTCTGTCTCATCAGGTAAGTAGAATCTCGCAGGGATGAGCTCTATCAACTTATCAAAGTAAAATTTTCATTACAGAGGACATGTTTTCTATGTTTTTTTCTCTTTCATTATGACCAGACTCTTTCGTGTACATTGATGAGTTAGTAGTAATCTTGAGAAATAATCGGGCACTAGTTTGTTTGGCTCTCTTTTGTTCATATATCTTCTTGATTTAGAATATCATCACTTGGTGGAACGAGTAACCTATTTGGAATTCTGCATCCGATTTATCTAACTTCCTTGTGTATGAATAGAGGATGAAGTGGACTTAGAGCTTCATCAATTTAATTTCACAAGCAAGATTATTCGCTCGCTCGAACTAAGAGAAGAACTAGCCATCGTTGTTGACCTTTTCTTAGGCGAGCAACTCAGACAAATCACACCATGTTCACGAGGCAATAGATTATTTCTTAAAAGGATCATTCGTTCGGTTTCCTAACAAGCAACTCATCTTCTAACTTAAGCACCATTAATTATAAAATCATTTCATAATTCGAGTCATTAATCACTCAAGAGAGCTCATTTTGGTCAACTTAATTATTATGTATTTCTTCATTTGTTATCATTTTAGATTCCAAATCATTTACTTGTGGAATGACAGCTACGTTTATTCCAAATATCAATCATGATATATATATATATATATATATATATATCCCTAATATATTAGAGGATTTTAATAGAAACATTTAAAATGATAACTTGTAGTTTGTACTAAATAAAAAATGCATTACTGAGTTGTCACATAAATTAAATATTAATTTTGTTTATGTGGGACTTAATAATCAATTAAGAATTTTGTTAATCAAAAATTAAATTGTTAGGGAATGTTATATTATATAGTATGTTCATCATGTACCATTCATTTATCAAATTGAAATGTATTATATATACTTTCTTTAAAAAAATCTACGAAATTATCTAATGTGATTATAATATATATGACAATTAATGATATTAAATTATAATAATTTGCTAATAATATGTACACTTTCTATCATTTTTTAATTATTTATTATTAAATTAAATTACACAATTACATTAATCATATAATCAAAATTTAGTTTTTTTGTATATGTAGTATTTTGAATTTTTTTAAACGAGTATAAATTACTAAAACTGTTAAAAGTCTCACATAAACTAGTGTGATCAAGTTTTATTTTTTTTCTATAATAAGATACAATGATTATAAAATCATATGAATAAATAGTTTTATTTTAATAGAGTTTACATTAATATATATATATCATATCGTTTAATTAAACTATACATCATATGAAAATACATACTTATATTTTGATATTTGCATTGAACATATTGAAAAGTTAATGTTTTAATTTTGAATCTTCATTGTTTTTTTAAATGATTATAAATTATTGAAACCACTAAACATTCCACATTAAAAGAAAAAAATCGTCGGTGTAAATTTTTGTTACACAAATATGCAAATAATCTTAAAATTATATGAGAAGAAATCTCATTTAATAAATATCCATATTAAAAGTATACTATATCTATGTTACTAGCATTTAAATTTAATTATCTATCATATACGATAGATCAGATTGATTATTTTGATTTATTTACCCTAAAATGATTGAACAAGAGCAATCTTTTGATTTATATGCAAATGCCAACTTATTATATAATAGTATTAGTAACTGATTTTAAATTTTTATTCTCTTTAATAATTTTAAATCTTAAACATTTTCTAAATCTCAGGCCAAAATAAAAGAACGAAATGAGAATAAACTCCAAAATCAATATTTATATCGATCAATAACCAAAATGAAAAAACAACACCAAAAAAGAAAATATTGAAGATAGATAGAAATGGAACGTGAACGTAAAATTCTCATAACCATAATTAACTTTGAAATTGCTAAATAATGCTATAAAACTGAGATAACATAGTTTCTTTGCAACCAATAGTACACCTGAGATACTTCGGCCTAAACATTAGGTTATTATGCGATAAGTGATTTTTAACCTTAAATATTTTTAAAAATGAGATCAGCTGATATTACGTTTTTACATCAAACTATATAATCTTTGAGAAGACTATATAGTCTTTGAGCAGCTGATATTACGTTTTGCTATGATATAGTTTTGTGTTTTTGTTTTTAATATAAAAATCAAATATAAAATAATACAATAAATAAATTAGTATTTACTTTATTATATATTAAAAATTTAATAGAACAATTTTTAAAAGAACTGGGCTATACTAATTAATTTCAAAATTAATTACTCAAAAATATATAAATTCTGGCCTATATTAAATATCGAGAAAAATAACAAAATAATTGTATAATAGAATTGGATTAGACTTTTATCGGAATTTATTGTTTAGATTTATATTTTTTAATGTTAGGAAAATATCATATATGTATAAATTTAAGATATTTTTAAAAAAAATTTAGTTAGTGGTCTAACATAGACTCTTTTATGGTAGTTAAAATAATGATTTTATTTTAACAGAATACTAGATTTTGACCCTCACATTCGTACGGATATTTATTATCTTAGAATGTATAATTTGGATGTTATTAAAAATATCTTAAAAATATAATTTCCATTTTAGCTTTATATGTTGTGTAACACTCTTTTTAAAAAATAATATAGACAAATTATTTTAGTGAATCGTATACATAGTAGCACATATTATATTATTTTAGTAAAATATATTGATATATAATATTTTTTTGATGTTATGATATTATGTTTTTAGGTAATTAAATTAAGATTTCAAAATATAAGATTACTTTATTTTTTGCAGCATTATTTTGTTTTTCGTGTAACATTTCAAGAAATTATTCTTTACTCTCTATGATTCTATCTTTTGCAAAATTTGAAATAATATCATTTAAAGCTTAAATATTTAAGTTTTAGGTAATTAAATTAAGATTTCAAAATATAAGATTACTTTAATTTTTGCAGCATTAGTTTGTTTTTCATATTACATACAATAAATTATTCTTTATTCTCTATGATTCTATCTTTTGAAAAGAATTGAAATATTATCATTTAAAGCTTCAGTATTTATTTTCAAAATTTTTTATTTTGTCAAAAACAATTTTGAAAATTACACAACTATTTTTAGTTGGAAGATTATATGATTTTTGAATTTTTTTTACTACATAAATACATTATGTTATTAAAATAATTTAAATTTTTGGTAAGATTTTTTATAAATTTCTCAACAGTTTTTTTATAATTATATAAATATTAAATTTACAATGAAAATTTGATTTGTCATTAATATTTTAAATTAATTATTAAAATTTCATATTGTACAATAGCGTATTATTAAATAGTATATGAACTATAAAGGTTAGATATAAACTATTGTATTTTTGTTTATTTTTAAACAAAATACTGTTGAGAGTTTCAAATAAATAAAAAGAAAATATGTAGTTGTAGATATAAAAGTTTAAGATATGTTAATTTTATACAGTTTAAGAATATAACAGATTTTAACAAGGAGTGATAATTTATTTAGGTGAAAATATTTTAAAATGAAAACAGGTCAATTTATATATTTAATATTTATATATTTTTATATATTTAATTTATATTCTGTTTTATATTAATATACAAGTTCCATATGAATTAATTATGACAGAATTTTCATTTTCTTGTTTTATAATAAATTTTATTTATTTAGGTGAAAATATTTTAAAATGAAATTTAATCAATTTATATATTTCATATTTATATATTTTTATATATTTAATTTATATTCTGTTTTATATTAATATACAAGTTTCATATAGCGCTTCTATTTTAATATAACTAGAAATTTAATAAAAATAGGATAAACTTTTTCTATTTTTGTTTTATAATAAATATTTAATAAACGTTAATTTATAATTACAAAATTAATTGATGTGTGATTTTACAAAAAAAAAATATTTAAAAGATTATTAAGTTTTTGTTGGATTCTTTCTCAACAGAATTTGTTATAATTAAAATATAAAATTCAAATTGGTAGTTGGTTTTTTTTTTCTAATAACATCTGTAGTTGGTTTATTATTAATGTAAATAATCAAATATATCATATTAACTAATTTTTGAGATAGTTCTATTATGACTTGTTAACAGTGGATAAAAGTAAGATTATGTTTTAATAGATTAGATAGATTTTCACGTTAATAGTGATCTATTATTTTACATGTATATACAAAAGAAATTAAAACTGTAAGATGCATAATCATATGTACACAGTACACATCATGTAACCACATGGTCAGAGATATATGTATATATACATATAATCACGCTTATCACGGCCAAAATTTAAAACTGACAAATTAAACACACCTATCTATTTTATTGACCCAATTAATATCTTATTTTCTGATCGTTTTCTAGGTCAACTAAAGCCACCGGAAGCTTCTGCTTTGTTTGATGGATAGATACATATTTTTAACTAGTAAATCTATAATTAATAACAAGTGTAGATTAATTATTCTTAGAGATGGCAAACTGGTTATCCGTCTCGTCATATCCTATACCGCGTCAAATTCATTTTCAAAATGGATTAGGTCCGCACGGACCACGGTCTTTGGAATAACTGTCCAAACTTCACCAAAAATATAAGTTTTTATGGATTGGTCCGTACAATATAAGACTACATACGAATATATGGTTTTTGAAGATGACATAAAGACCAAAACTACCATCATAATTCGATTTTTTTATCGTCGAAAGTCCTACGGTTTTGTCAGTAGAGAAAGAACTGAATCGCTTTTTCATTCTGTCTCTCATTTTCTTTTTTCATGTGGAAAATAAAGTGAATAAATGATATTTGCGGGTCTTTCTTCTCCTGTATGACCCATTTCTGCACGATCATGTTGAAGGTTTGTTCCATAAAAATCCCATCCCACAAGAACATGTTCCGCGAATCCCACAGTTTTTCTGGACCTACAATATCAATATCCAATATCGCCCCACTACAAGTCTTTGCAAGTCACATCCGTGGTCTAAATCCAACATTGCCTTCATAGGCTCGCTATTTTGATACTAATTAATACCGAATAATTAAAAAAATATATAGTTTTAGCATGTCAAATATATATATACATTTTCTCCTTTTTAAAAAATATTGATTGATCAAATGTTTAAAACCTTACCATTACTAATATATTATATTTATGTTATCATTCGTAAATATCTCTTATAGAAAAAGATTTGCAATATTAAAATGAAATATTTGAAATTAATTTAAGGTGAAAAGAAAATTGTCGTTTCATTGTTTGAGATCATTATTTTATTTTCAATATTAGCAAACCTATTCTATTAAAATAAAAGTTACAATTTCATTTCATGTGTAATTTTTAAGTTGACCAACATTAAATTGTCTTACTAAATATATTATAATAAGACTAATAATATATAGAATCTTTGAACTACTTTAATCATAATATCTTTTGATATATTTTTATTGAGAATATAATTATAAATATATATATATATATATATATATATCAAAAAATTCATAAAATATGTTTATAAAATTTTTAACAAGATCTTAATTTTCAAAAATTATTGGTAAATATTTTCAATAATTTCATGATTAGTTTTGGAATATTATTATACATTTATATATTCAGTTATCGTTTAAAAAAAAAAAAAAATATTCTATCCTATTTTCTATCTATTATATAATCACAATCAATCATATTAAAAGAAAATTATTATGTTTATCTAAATATTTTAACAATATCTTAATTTTCAAAAAGTGTATGTAAATATTTTCACTTATTTCGTAATTAGAAATGAACTATTATTATGCATTAATATATATATATATATATATATATATATATATATATATACAGTTGTTGTTTATAAAATTATATTAATTTGATAGATTTATAAAGTTTATTTTAATAAATAGAAAATATCCATTCTATTAAAAAAGAAGTTACAACTTCATTTCATATGTGGTTTTTAATTTTGATTATCCTTAAAAAAAATTATTAAATGTATTTTAATAAGACTAATAATATATAAAATCTTTGAACTACTCTAATCGTAATATTTTAAAAATCTTTTTATTTAGAATATAATTATAAATATATCTATATATATTTCCAAAAATCTGTTTAAAAAGTTTTTAATAAGATCTTAGTTTTCAAAAATCGTATGTAAATATTTTCAATAATTCTGTATTTATTTTTGAAATATTATTATACATTAATATTCAGTTAGCCTTTATAAAAGGAAAAATATATATTCTATCCTATTTTTATCTATTATATAATCACAATCATATCAAAATAAAATAAAATTATTATATTTTTGACTAAATAAAAAATATTATATTTAACTAGATATTATAAAATTATATTAATTTGATAGATTTACAAAATTTTATTTTCATAAATAGAAAATATCTATATTAAAAATATATAATATGATGATACACTACAATACATATACAAAATTAACATATCTTAGACTTTTGTATATACAATAATATATTATGTAAAATGAATAAACGTAAAAATATTACTAGAAGAAAATCCAGTTTTTAAGGGCGGGTAAAAATTTAACATATATTAAATATAAAATAATTTTCAAATATGTTTTTTCAGGCACATATTAATTTGTTTAATTACTAAATGAAAATACAATAAGATAAATATATAATAAGAAGTAACAAATACATGTGATGATTTTAAACAATTGATTATTTACGAAATGTAAATTATAAATTATTGTATTTGAAATAGTTATATAAATATTTAAATATATGATTAAAATTAAAAATGTATACCACTAATAATCTAATGTAAATATATATGTATATAAAATTGAAATAACATCTGCATGGTTGTGCATATTAGAATCTAGTTAGTTGTTATCATAGAATATCCATAATCATTTTTCTATCCACGGTATTATCATATATTTATTAGCATTATAACGTATCAGACTTGAATTATTTGATTAGCAAAAATTAGGAACTAAAATGAGTCGATCAGCAAAAATTGAAGATTAGAAGATTTAATCAATAAAAATTAAAACCATAATTGTTTTTTCTGATAAACAAATTTAAAGTTTTTTTTGCCAAATATATGTAGTTGAATATTTTTTTGTTGGCAATTTTCCACTTTTTTTTTTGGTAAGCTAAAAGGATTAAACCCGGATCTATTAAAGACACAGACCTAACCCCCGGGTGGAAGTACAGCCCATGGATAGACCCTCTCCTGAACATTCAAATGGATCGAAATCAATAATCCATATCCGTGTGGTCAGTGAAATTTGAACCCGAGTTCGCCTTATTGGGTTTATTCCCTCAAGCGCCACTGGTTCAGCAATTTTCCACTTTCAACAATATCTTAATTCACTTAGAACACCCTGCATCTCTATATAAACCTCGACTTTGTTGTGCTTTGTTCTTCAAACACACCAATAAACTATAAGTCGTCTATTGGAGTCCTTGTTTACTCAAACATGGCTTCAGATAAACTTATTGCCTTTTTGGTTATCGTAGTTGCACTTTTACTACAAGGTAATAACAAAACCGTCGTTGAAGCACAACTCAGAACCGATTTCTACTCAAAAACCTGCCCTGATCTTCACGCCATTGTCCGAGCCCGCCTTGGAAACGCCATTGCAGCTGAGCCTCGAATGGCTGCATCTGTCCTTCGACTGTTCTACCTCGACTGCTTCGTCAACGTAAGTTAGTTCTACCTTTCTCTTTACATCCCTTGCATGATTTTTTTCTGTTCTTTCCGTCTAACCATAATCATAACTTAGGGATGCGATGCTTCGATTCTACTAAAAGACACACCAAGAAATGCGGGGGAACAAAACGCGGCCCCAAACCGCAATTCTGTGCGCGGGTTTGAAGTCATCGATGATATCAGAATGTGGACAAATCACAAATGTCTTGGGGTCGTGTCTTGTGCTGATATCTTAGCCATCGCAGCTAGAGACGCCGTCGTAGCCGTAAGCTCTATATATCCTCTCTTATTTCGTTTTTTTTTTTTTCAAGGATCAGTCAGGTCTAAAAAAAAATATTCTTCTAATAAATATTTAAAAAAAAAAAATATAAATACGTTTTAATTTGTTCATCCTCAAGACTGGAGGGCCGAGTTGGGATGTTCCTTTAGGAAGAAGAGATACAATAACGGTGAGTCAAGAGGCTGCGAATAGTGGCATTCCAGCACCAAATTCGAGTCTGAGCGAGCTTGTTACTAGTTTCGGCAAACTTGGATTCACCCCTAGAGAGATGGTTGCTCTCTCCGGTCCGTTTCATTTCTCTCTTTAAACCAACTTATGCAACTATTATGTTCATAACACTTATGGTTGATTCTTGATTGCAAAATTTTAAAATATTGGCTACTATTAAGTAACAATTACATAAAAAAGGAGAGAAAACAATCGATAATACTTGGACACATATCTATACTATTATTTGCGAAGTGATTTTTCGCAACGTAGCTCCCACATTAAAAGTTAGAGTGGTTAATATCGATATTATCCTTAATGAATAAATATATAAATCAGCCAATAATAAAAACGAATTTAATATTTATTTGATTAGATAAATGATTTAAATTAATAATAATGATAAGAATTATCCATAATATAAATATATATTTAAAAATAAAAAGATAATTCTTATATATATTGTGTTGTTATCCGAAAAATATATTTAATAAAAAAATTTCAAAAACATAAAACACATAAATAAATATTAATTAAGTAAAAAAATTAATTGTATATAATTGAAAATAAAAAATTTTAAAAAATTATAATACGTAATTATTTTCAAATTAAAAGAATATAATAATATAATATAATGATATATATATTTGTGAAGTTATCTTCGCCTCTGGGCTCACATGTTAAATTAAATTTATTTTTATATTTTTATATATAAGTAATCCTTAAACATGAATTTATGATAATAAAATAAAAAATCATTCAAAAACAAAAAAAAAAAACGTGTTTGGCAAAAATAAATTTTAATTGTATTATTATCTAAACTAATATTATTCTTTTTGTAAGATCAATTTTTGAATGTATATTTATCGATTCAATTTTTCAAATTAAAAGATAGATTTCTATATTTTTATTAATTAAGAAGAAAGGAAATAGACTTTAGATTTTTTAAAGTTTAAAAGGAAGAAGTATATTTTTAAAATTTGTGAATAAATTTATCATGTAAAAAAAATTAATGTAAACTTTTTGGATGCAAAGATCATTTATTTTGATGATTTTTAAATAGATTTAAAGATAATTAAGCCCGCATATGCGGGAAAAACACATAGTTTATTCTTATCGAAAAAGCAATACGGTGATACATAATTAACAAAATCGTTTTTTTTTTTTCACTGAAATATTTCATTAACTTAAAAGTAGAGAATGAGCCCAAATGGACCTAAACCAAAGTTCAATAGAAAGATAGATGGGCTTAATTAACAAAATAGTTAATTCGATTTATTAATACAAATAATTAATACTCCCTCAGTTTCATATGAAGTGTCGTTACAGAGAATTTTTAACGTTACAAAATAAGTGTCGTTTTCAGTTTTCAATGCAAAATTTATTAATTTTATTATGTAACTTGTTTTTCTATTGGTTAAAATATGGTTAGATGTATACGTAACTGTATTTTTATATAGGAAATATGTAAAATTAATTGTTTCTTTAATCTGTGTGCATAGTTGTAGAGTGACACTTATAATGAAACAAAGGGATTATTACTTTATTTTAACACCCCGGAAAAAAGAAAAAGTCTAAAGTATTGAACAAATTGGATTTTTATTTTTCTACAGGCGCGCACACGATCGGGTTTGCCCAGTGCAAACATTTCCGAGAGAGGATCCACTACTGGAGAGACATTGACTGGCTTCATTTCGCCACCACACGCAAGCAAACTTGCCCGGAAACTCCAGGGCCCAGCGACGGAAATCTAGTTGAACTAGACTCCCGTACACCGTTTAAATTCGACAACGGTTACTTCTGGAGCCTCTTCGGTAAGAGAGGTCTCCTCCATTCCGACCAACAGCTCTACAATGGCGGCATAGGCTTCCCAAACTCCATCGTCTGGGAGTACATGGCAAATGAGAAGACTTTTCGCTCTGATTTCGCGGCAGCCATGCTCAAGATGAGTCAAATCAGCCCATTAACTGGTCATGTTGGTGAGATCCGGCATAATTGCTCGGAGATCAACGAATGGTTCTCAAAATGAACGTTCAAATCTACTCAAGCTGTCAACTCACTCCCCTCAAATAAAAGATCGAAATCTTTCGAATCCCTTTTAATGTTCTCGTTTTTTCTTTCTTTCCCTTCCTTGTGTTCTTGTCGGCATTTGTGATTGTTTTGCTTTAATAAAATCTCTACCTTAATTCCTTGTGTTCCTGTTGGCATTGTGAATGTTTGTTTACCTTAATAAAATCTTCCCTTCCTTGTGTTCTTGCCTCCATTTGTGAATTTTTGCTTTAATAAATTATATATTTCCCCTTCCTTGTGTTCTTGTCTCCTCTCCATTAAGAATGTTTGCTTTAATAAAATCTTCTTATGATTTTCCATCGAGCTTTAGCTCCCAACTTCACGAACTGACAGTGCAAATGATTGGAGGTATAAAAATGATTGTTTGCTTTAATAAAATCTTTCCCTTCCTTCAGTTTCCATCTCTTTAGTTTTAGGGCTTGTTTGTGCCTAGTCTAGAACTCTGTTAGTCGCTCTTTTGTAACTTTCCAATCCTCTTTTCCGGGGTTGATTAAATACATGTGGATTGAGGTTACAGGCAGCAGGTTTGTTCTCGGAAAAACGCCAGCCAGTTCATTGTCTATTGGGGACCCATCAGATCTTAACAATGCTAGCGTTCTAACTGTTAAAAGGTATTGTTCTCAGAAGTCATAACCCAATGTGCATGGTTTTATACTATAATATGAGTCTGAGACTGATCTTTGAAATTATCTTCTTGCATTCTTATCTACTACTCCCTCCTCCGTTCTCTTTTACAGACGTTTTGAATCTTGGCACATGAATTAAGAAAGCTAACATAATACCTATTGTAACCCTTTAGTTAATGTTAAGTTAAATCTTTTCTGCTAGATTTGTTTGATTAAGATAAGGGTAGAAATAGTCATAATGTGTCAATTTCTAGGGCTGGGCGCAAGGCGATTATTTGCTATTTTACGTGTATTTGATACTTGACTTCTTTACACGAGTAATAAAATTTTCGACTTGTATTTGACTTGTTAAAAATGAGTACTTGATCAAAAATCAGTTACTTGCAAGTTATTTGCCTCGCTTTATTACTTGCTACTTACGAGTACTTGTGAATTATTTACGTGTATTTCTGAGTATTTAAAAATTATTACTAAATAATCATATACCAAAAAAAGACATGAAGATTTACTTATTTACTTTACTAAAAAGAACATACAATTACGTTTAAAAAGGATTTATGCATATAATAAAGAACCGAGTTTAAACCAAGTAACGAGTTTAATATCTTATTTAGTAATGAGTTGTCATGTTTATTAAATTAATATTGGTATGAAACTAATATCAAATCAAGACAAGTATTATTTTACAAGTAACAAATATTATTACCAAGTAACGAATATTTTGTAGAACGAGTAACGAGTATTTATAAAACGAGTAATGAACAATAAGTAACGAGGCAAGTATTGAAAAATAAAATGATACTTCATACTTACCTTGCTTTTACAAGTACTTGAATTTTCAAGGCGAATACGGGTCAAGTAACGGTTATAAGACGAGTATCGAGGAGTAATGATGCCCATCACTATCAATTTCTACATTGAATTTTGCAAACGACAAATATTTTGACACAAGAAAACTGTAGAACGTCAAATAAAGAAGAACAGAGGGAGTAATAATTGGTGTCTAGGAACTGCAAATTATATTTCAAAAACCTGGTAAGACCATAACTAGGAATGCATTGTGTAGCAAGTCGAAAGTTTTGACACAGCAAATGACATGACAATGAATTTTCCCAAAATAGCATCAGATGTGCAAACAGTTTTACTTTCCACCTTCATTCACAAACCCTTCTTTGCGACCTTCAAAGCCAGGACGAAGAAGCTTCTTCTCCCTCTTGGCGATCTTCCGCTGCTTGTTCTGCTCAATCCTATCAGCAATGTTCCCTGATCTCTTCTGCTGCTTCTCCACTCTAACCTTTTGCTGTCCTTCAACTCTCTCCTTCCACTTCTCCGCGTTCTTCTCGTGCCTCTTCTTCTCTTTGTGGATGCTCTGCTTCAGCAGCTTCGGGTCATCATGAACCTTGATACCAGCTGCTCTGCTTGTAGCTGCTTGCCACGAGTGCTTCTTTGCAATCACTTCTCCCTTTTCTGGATCCTTCTTTGCAGCCTCTAACTTCAAAGCTCTTTCAAGCTCTCTTGACTTGGAAAGCCTACGTTTCTTCTTGTCCTTTCCGTGCTCCTCATCGTCATCAATCTTGACATAACCAAACGTAAGATCCTTAGCAGCCTCTTCCACATCCAGCTTACCCTTTCCTTTCTCTGCTGCCTTAATCTCCTCCGCAGTCTTATCCTCGGAACCTGAATCCCTCTTTCTCTTCTTAGGTACAATCTTCTTCCTTCTTTCGTGGATTCTTGGTTTATCTGCACGACCACCTTTAAGCTCATCGATTTTACGGTGGAGACGCTGCCTCAACTCCTCGTACGTAACAGAATCATCTCTCTGGAAACCAGTAGTCTTACGCTTCTTGATGTGACCAGTCTCCTCCTCCTCATCCTCCTCACTATCATCATCATCAGCAATCTCATTACTCAACTTCTCCTTCTCAATCTTCTGCTTGAGCAAATCAAGAGTCGTCAAAGAAGACTTCTCAGGGTCCAACCTATCCCTCCTCGCCTTCTTCAAGTTTTCAGTAGTTTTCCTCTTGGCTTTAGCTTTCTGAGCCTTGCTAAGACCAGGAAACCACTTCTTCTCAGTCTCATCAGGTAAGTAGAATCTAGCAGGGATGAGCTCTATCAACTTATCGAAAAACTCAGCATGCTGATGAGCCACACAACTAATAGTATCCGATTCAGAATCAACTTTCTCCTTCTTCTTTATCATCTTTAACAATTACCAAAACCAATCACAATCAGTAAAAAAAAAAAAAAACAATAATGCAATCATATATTAAACCAAGTACAAGGCTCATATACGAGTTAGTTACTAGGAGTAGTCAAAACTCACATCAATACCACGACGAGTTTTAGCCATTGATCTCTAACCTCTGCAAGCAAATAAAACAGAAAGTTATTAATTAATCATTCTGAAAGAATCTAAACATCATCAAACATAGCTATAAAGCCTATAATATATCACCAGCATCAAAAGAATCTTAAAATCCGAATTGATGGAAGAAAATACAAGTTCTGAACGATTCTATTAAACAACAAGAACTAACCTAAATGGAAAGGATTCGTCTCTAGGGAAGAAAACAAAGAGCGGAGAAGAGAAAACTCACCGGTGACGACGATGGCGAAGTAACGGCGATTGAGAGGAAGAAGAGGCTCCGTGTTAAAAGTTTTAGGGTTCGTTCGAATGGTTTTGTTATTTTCTAAATTTCAATAAGGGTATTTATGTAAATGGTTATCGTTCAGCGTTTTAACTACGGTTCGGTTTAAAAGGATTGAAATAAAGTAAACCGGAATCGAAGCGAACCGGGAAGTTGTGCACACGGATATGTTGTGAGAAGGAAGGAAACTAACTACTTATACGTCTCCACGTGGATTGTTCCTCTTCACTCCCCTATTCTATAACGAAAACGGTGTCGTCTTATTAGTCCACTGCTTGATCGGAGTTTCTAGCCTTCTCTGCTTTCTCAGTCTCCGGCTAGCGATGGCGGTCTCAGCTTTCCGTGGCGTGCGTTTACCACTTATTCACCAATCTCAGGTCTATTTTCTCTCCTCAGTTAATTTTTTTTTTACGGCTTAGCTACCAAAATTTGCAAAACTCATTACTCTATGCTGAATCTCGGTTTCTTCATTTTTGCAGCTTCCCGTTGCGATAGGAAGTTCTAAGAAGGTGATCGGAGGAAGAAAGTCTAAGTCTTTTTTCATCTCGGCCCAATATTCGCAAACGCAGGACCTTTTCACTTCGCGTCTTCAAAGTACAGAACTTTTTTCTTTTTTTTTTCTCTTTTTTGTAAACTCAGTCTGAGACTGTATACTGTGTTGATAGATGAACCTGTCTGTTGCTAAATGGGTTTGGTTTATCTTAGTATTTGAGAGGCAACTTTTGCTCACACGGTCCTTTTGATGCAGGCCGGATAGAGAACTTACCCAAGCTGGTTGAGGATATTGTTCAGACATCGATTAACACTGGTCCACGTGGTGCGTTACGCCTTGTCCAAGGCGTTCAGGCATTTGTTGGGGTTGGAGGAGAGTGGCTCAATGATATCTCTAAGGTAACTCTTTTTTTTTAATATGTTTCAAGTAAATGGTTCATAATTTCTTGTTTGTGTGAGTAAATAAGACACCTGACACCACCTGTGAGCTTAAATTGCGTCTTCTGGTGACTCTCTGCAGTATACAAGAGTGTCTGGTGGGTTACCAACTGAAATGCAGCTTGGTCTACTCTCTCCTCTTTATTTGAGGAAACTCTTTGAACGCATGGGAGCTACTTACATCAAGCTCGGCCAGGTAATCCGTGTTGCTTCCTTTGATGGTGTTGTTAATCGCTAGACACATGTGAATTGCATGTTTAAAGCAAGCCTAGTTTTTATATTGTTCTTTGTCAATAAATTCTCCTTTCTATCCCAAGTTAACGCCACTTTTAATATCATTGTAGTTTATAGCATCTGCGCCAACTTTGTTCCCACCAGAATATGTGGAAGAGTTTCAGAACTGCTTTGACAAAGCTCCTCCAGTACCTTTTGAAGAAATTCGTAAAATTTTGCAAGAGGAACTTGGGAGACCTATAGAAAGCGTATACGAATATGTTGACCCTACACCACTTGCATCAGCCTCAATAGCACAAGTATCTTCTTCCGCTTCTGGTTGTTTATCATATTCACTTTATGTTCTCTTTTCGTACTTAAAGGAATCATAATGATTTAGGTCCATGGTGCAAGACTTAGAGGCTCACAAGAAGATGTAGTGATTAAGGTCTTGAAGCCTGGAATAGAGGATTTCTTAGTAGCAGATTTGAACTTTATCTACGTTGTTGCCCGTATATTTGAGTTCCTTAGCCCTGAGTTCAGCCGTACTTCACTGGTATCTCCCCGTCTCCTCTGTCTTAATTTACACTTGCTGCTAAGTTACTCTCTAAACAATATATATCCTATTAATAGGTTGGTATTGTCAAGGACATTCGTGAGTCAATGCTTGAAGAAGTAGATTTCAATAAGGAGGCTCAAAACATTGAGGCATTTAAGAGATACCTTGAATCCATGGGGTTGTCAGGACAAGCCACTGCTCCAAGAGTGTATAAGCACTGCAGCAGCCGTCGGGTACTTACAATGGAGAGGCTATATGGAGTTCCTCTTACTGATCTAGAGTCTATAAGATCACTTGTTTCCAGTCCAGAAAACAGCCTTATTACCGCTCTTAATGTGTGGTAAGATCTTCGAAATTTTACTATCGCAAATAAGATTGGTCTTCATCCTCCTAAACGTAGCGGCTGGTGAATTTTGATCTTCATGTGAATGTAACATGCAGGTTTGGAAGTTTACTTTCTTGTGAGAGTTTCCATGCTGATGTACATGCAGGGAACTTATGGCTGTTGCGCGATGGCAGGATTGGCTTTCTTGATTTTGGTAAATCATTATTCCTCTTTCCATCTGTTAATGCATGAAACGCAGATTTTTGCATGAACACTCTTCCCTGCTTATTGGTATTTTTGGTGTATTTAAGTAAGTTTCCACATTGTTTTTCAGGCATTGTTGGTCGGATATCACCCAAAACATGGGAGGCTATGGAAGTATTTTTAGCTTCCATTGCAACTGAAGAATATGAATCCATGGCCTCAGCTTTGATTCAAATGGGCGCCACAAATAGAGATGTTGATGCCAAAGCTTTTGCAAGAGACTTGGAAAAGATGTTCTCTTCTATCCAGGCAAGCTATTCTACTCTTTAACAGTTTTGGAGTAAAGGGCTAAACTAAAGACTTGCCCTCTGTAGCCAGCTACATCCACTGTAGTGCAAAACAATTTGACAAGTACTACTAATCTTATGGAGATAAGTGAATCTCTTATTGCAGGAACTAGATACAGAGATAGTTGTGGCTACAGCTCGCGGAACAAATTCAGACAGAACTGCTGTTGCTGCTAACGTAGTTATGGACGAGAGACAGATGAATGCTCTTTTCCTCGACCTGGTAAGCACTAATTAGAGATTGTCGTTTAAGAATTCTGATTTTGATATTAAAGTTGTTAGCCTTGATGGATGTAAGTTTAACCAAGTTGTTTTGAGCTTTAAGGACTCCATAGGTGAAAACAAGTTTTATTTCCTTTTCTGTAGGTGCGGGTTAGCGAATCATATGGGCTGAAGTTCCCGAGAGAGTTTGCACTTCTATTGAAGCAGCTTCTGTATTTCGATAGGTACACGAGACTATTAGCCCCCGACATGAACATGCTGCAGGATCAGCGAATCTCTGTTGTGTCCAACAGAAGGATGAATCGATACAAGGACAGCTTCAACTAAGTTCATACTCATATACTCCACTTACAGGTGGTAAAGTTATAGTAGATTGATAAAAAACAGGAACGATGTTGAATCCAATATTGTTACAAACATAATGAATGCTACATGAATATATACAACAGGTATCTTTTTGTATAATTTTGCACAAGTGTCGTGGTTTTCTCTATACCTTAAACAGAGGTGCAGGACAAATCTTTTACCTATAAACATGTGAGACAAAGAATAATAAACCAATGGCAAAACTTTCAATCTGAAAAGTGCATAATTGTCCTTGCGTGATCAGAAGCAGGGATATCTACACAGAAGGAGGACGTTGAGAAGCTTTAAAGACTTGGCTTACAGTAGAATATCCCATTAGCCTATGAAGCGGAGAGCCTCTAGCCACAGGTACCTCCTCTTCCTCCTCCTGAGCAGCAGAGGAGCTCGGCTTTTCGGGTTTGGAAGGAGCTCTGTCTCTGGGAGACTCTGATGTTGAATTGCTACTCCTGTTAGCGTTTATGTCATGTGTTACTGCAGGGACTAAATGAGTTCTGGATTGAAGTGAGAATCTGAGAACAGTGGTGCAAGTCCCGCATTTGAGAAGATGATACTTCCTCTTGAAAATGAGAAAGTCTACAGGAAGCTGTAGGTTTTGTGAGCAACGGTAACAGCTAACGAAAGGGGCCCCACCGGCTGTTGGACGGATATGACGCTTGGCCACAGGTTGTCTCCGACGGGCCTGTAAGTCAGCATGTCTATTACGCGGATGATCCTCCGCATCAGAGACTATCTCATGGCTCCATCTCGGATAATACTCAGGTTGTTCCATTAGTCTCTGTGGACTTGCAGAATATGAACTGTAAGAACTATACATCTGACTTGAATACCAACCAGGATGGTTTCTTGTGTCATTCGTCATCTCTCCTGAAAGCCTACTCCCTTGGCCTCTATCTCTTGCCCTTATGTTGTTGTGATACATATGGTCAACACTCTCGTAGTCCATGCCTCCAGCGTATGGAGGCATTTGAAGCGAGTGTAAACGAGAATAGCTATCAAACACATCTTGTGATGGAGGATATGAAGGGCTGACACGTGTGAATTGATCTCTCGGATATAAAGGCACGTCAGGCCGAAGTTGTTCTGAGACATGTCTCCTCCCTTGTCTTGCAAGACGCCCTCCTGGCCCCTCAAGTTGCTGAGACCTGTATGTGGTTGTCCCACTGGGCCTCTTCTCAGAGAAAGTGGATGAGGAACTACCTCCTTGCTCCTTGAAATTTTGAGGGTATCTCTGCATATCAAATTTGTCTGATCTTATTTTCTGAAAAGCATTCCATTGTTGGTTTTCATCTTGGTCTTCTCTTTCGTCAGACGAAGACTTACTCCCATCATATGCAGACGAAGTCTTGTTTGCAGGAAGATCATCTGTTGACTCCCTGTGGGGGTGAAAAATGTAACCTTCTTGGTTTTGCTCCTCTTCAACCGGAGAAGCATCAGGAGAGATTTCAGCTTCGAGGTTGTGGTAAGCATCACTGGAGGAATTGCTAGCTCTTGCATCAGCCACATGATCAGCATTCAAGCTTCCTGAGCTAGTCCCCGGTCGTGTAGCTTCCTCCACAGATTTCATATCAGACATCAATATGCTGGAGTTGTCTTCTCCTTCATTCTTGTCAGAATCACTAAGTGAACGTTCGTGCAGTTGGATTTCGTTCCTCTCCTCTCTTTCAGATAACTCTAAGCCATCAATCTGCTTCAGAGTGGCCTCCATGGATCCATCCTGATCCTTCTCATCTTCTTGGCCCGAGGAAGGACCTGTGGGTGACGGAAGAACCATGTCCTGCTCTGAGCTGCTGGACACATTGTTGGTTTCAGGCTCGCTTGGTGGCTCACTGGCTTGAGCCCCCTCTGTTTCTCCTGCACTTGGTGCAGTGTTTGGAGGCTCGCTGGCTTGAGCCCCGTCTGTTTCTCCTGCACTTGTTGCAGTGTTTGAATGCTCACTGGCTTGAGCCCTCTCTGTTTCTTCTGCACTTGGTGCAGTGTTTGGAGACTCACTGGCTTGAGCCCTCTCTACTTCTCTTGCACTTGTTGCAGTGTTTGGAGACTCACTGGCTTTAGCCTCGTCTGTTTCTCCTGCACTTGTTACAGTGGTTGGAGCCTCACTGGCTTTAGCCCCGTCTGTTTCTCCTGCACTTGGTGCAGTGTTTGAAGGCTCGCTGGCTTGAGCCCCCTCTGTTTCTCCTGCACTTGCCACGGTGTTTGGAGGCTCACTGGCTTGAGCCCTCTCTGTTTCTCTTGCACTTGGTGCAGTGTTTGAAGCCTCACTGGCTTGAGCCCCCTCTGTTTCTCTTACAATTGGTGTAACGTTTGGAACAATGGTCCTTCTTTTAGCTGAATCAAAGAAGCAACAAACAAGTTCAGTAACTAAGAGAGATCATGAGAAGAAAAGAAACCAAAACTACACAACTAGTTTTAACCTTAGACAAGGCAAAATTATCCAATTCAGGATAACATAATGTTTAGACGAAATCTAAAAACGGTAAAGTTGAAGACTTTGTAAAAAAACAATAACCAAAACTACAGAACTTGGTTGAACTCAAACAAAATTCAGGATAACACTATGTTCAGACAAGATCAAAATGGCAAAGTAAAAGACTTTGTAGAAAAAACAATGACCTTGAAGAATGGCTGAGCAACCACCGCATTGATAAACAGGAACATCTTCATCTTCTTGTAGAATCTTTAAGCACTTGGGACATTTCACCAACCGAACTCTCTGGCTCGACTTGCTAGCCATTGGTTAGTGCCAAAGAAGAAGAACTAAAAAAAGATCGAGACTTTCAAGTATCTACAGAAAATTGAAGCAGAGACCAAAAGAATATGAAGGTCAACTCAGTAGGATTAAGATGAGAAAGAGGTTTAATTTAAAGAATGGTATAAACCGGGTCTGAGAGATGGTTACGGATCCGGGTCAGGATGGGGAGAAAGCAAAGATTACATCATTCAAGGATCCATAAAAAGAAAGTTAGGTTGTAAGATCTTTTATCATAGGAAACGATTGAGGAATCAAGAAACAGAAGTAGAAGCTATATTATAAGTAGAGCGATTGTGAAAGAAGAAAGAGAAGAAGATTCAGATTATATAGAGAGAGGAGGACCTAGAGAGAGAAGAATCTCATGTCGTGGGGACGAAGTAGAAAGAAGATGAGGAACAGTGACAAAAAAAAGCCAAATCTTTGGACAGGTTTTCTCTTTTTTACTAGGATGTTAACATGTTTCTCTCCTTCTTCTGAGAAAAGTCTCTATTTTTCCGTGTTTGTTTTATTTTCTTAATAATACTTTTTGGGTAATTTTATTACATTATTAACGATCTATCTGGATATTATAACAACCATTTTTAAAAAAAAAATATTAAGGTTAATGGTCGGCAGCAGACTCGGTATTTTATCGTTTTGTGCTGTCAAAATTCTACTTTGTAGATAGATAATCGTTTTGGCTTTGTGATTCCAAAGAAGAAGTCAAAACCTTTGGTTTTGGAGTCGTCTTATATTTTGTATATAGACGAAAGAGGTGACTTTCGTATTTGTTTTCTCTGCTTAGTCCAATGACTATGTGGATACGGTTCTCAGATCAAATCAAATCAAGTTCATTTATCATTCAAGTCTTCACAACTTCATATTTGTATTGAGTCTTCTACAATTGGGGTAATTGGGACCACTACATTTCTCTTGTAAATGTTTATTTATTAAACTTAAGGCATGAAACAATGAAACTACTTTATTTAAGTAGTCATATTAATGTATCAATTGTATCTACATATTACTTGAGCGTCACTTCTCATTTCTAAAAATAATGTTTGATTTATTTGTTAGTTATCAAGACTATTTGTCTTTGATATATTTATCTCTTCAAAAAATAAGCGTAGTTTCTACCAAATAAGTCCAAAGAAAGAAAACATAAAATTACCGTTTACATGTGACAACACAAAGCAATTTATATTAGGCTCGTTCTTTGCGTACAAAACCTTAATTAAGAAACCAATAAAAGTGTTTGTCCAGAAAGAGAACAAAAGAAAGTGAAATATAAAGGGGGCATATATTAACCTTTTCTTTTGAGGTATCTTTAAATGATTATCTGTTGTTTCTAACTAATAAAGTTCATCGCCAGCAGTCTTGCTAAGTCATTTCACACATGCAACCACATTTACAACCTAATACCCATAATAATAAACTAACATATATGTTTGTAAATCTTATACAATTATATACTGTTTTAAATTTATCTGCATGGGGATGCATTACGCACTCAAGCATGTGTTTACACAATACACAAGGAGAAAAGAAAGACGCAATGAACACTCTCGAAATTGAAGTCTGTAAATTTTCATTTCTATTGTCTTTAATTAGAAACAAAGTCTTGCAGATCATGACCAATCTTGATATGGTCAGATCCTATTATACTATTTTAAATAAATAAAATAATAAATGGTTTGACTAAGCACACTTTTATCACGAAATAGAATTGGAATAAGCATTATAAAAAACCAGACTCGTTCAAACTCTGTTTTGTTATATTTTATTTTTGTTCCATTTTAGTCTTAATAGTAATAAGTTTCATATTTATTTGATGTAGTGTTCATTCAATTTTTTTTTTGACAAAACATATTACTATAAATCAGTAATAAATGTCAATAACAATTCAGTTATAAGATTCAAAAGAACTTTTATCAGCATTTCACATTAACTCCAACTCTTATATTAAGAGAGTCAACCAAGTTGAGATATTGGAGGATTCGGTTTGTCTTTGGCCTTTTGACTTTTTCTTCCCTAGGCTTTTAAGTTATAACTACATAGGCTTTACGTCACCATGACATCATCTTAAAAAAACTCTATACAGAGAAACTTGTAGATACTCTATGCTCATACTACATAATTAAATTTCATATAAATAGCAATTCATACTAAAGATTCTGAATAATGTCTGAGACGGAAGAGAAACACACAAACATGATGGGACAAAGGAAGACATAATACTGATGTAAAACGAATAAACAAAGGAGGGAGAGAGCATTCATCTAAAAATTCACACGACCATGATTGCATGTAATAGCTTTTTTCATTTGCTCGAAAGAACCCGCAAGAGTTGTCTGTATCCGGTTTTGTAATGATCCAGAGCGAAACAAAGCTGTTTAATCGCCTCTCGTTTCTCTTCCTCACCTTCTGATATAGCATTTCTCTGTAACTCTCCTTGCTTCTCTAGCTCTTTGACAATCTCCTTCAGTTCTTCCACTGTGTTCTTGGCGTTTCCTGATTCAGACACAAGCTCTGTCTGCCTGTAGACCAGCTGGTTAACTTGCTCCTCCATTTGCTTGATCTGGATATCTCTTGATCTCATCTCTGCTTTTAGAGTGTTTACTTCAGCGCAAACTCCATCTTTCTCTGCCATTAACATGTCATACCTCAGCTTATGCTTGTCGAAGTCCTTGTTCAATACTTCAATGTGGTCACCTCGTGAGGCTAACTCTGTCTTCAATGCATTGGTCTCAGCTTCCAGGTTAACCTCTCTATTCTTCATCTCCATTTTCTCTGCATCAGAATGCTTAATCTGATCTTCCAAGAAAGTCTGCTTCTCTAACAAACCGGAAACATCAATCTCCAGCTTTGTTTTCTCAGTAGAGAGCTTTGAGATATCAGCATCAGATACAGCTAAACGCTCTTTACTCAGATGAAGCTCATCCACTACATTCCCTACATTGAAACGTAAATCTGAGAGCTGAGATTCCAAATCAACCACCTCTTCTTGCAGCTCCAGGGCTCGCCTATTCTCACTCTCAATGTATGTGTCCTTTGTCTCTATCTCTCTCCTTGCAACTTCAAGCTCAGCACGTAGATTCTCAGCAGAATCTCTCTTCTCACCCTTGAGTTTTTCAATCTCTTGTTCAGATTCTTGGAGCTTTAGGCTTTTAGTCCTGAGCTCTTCCTCGTATTGAGAAAGCTTATTCATCAATTCACTGTAGCTCATTGGCTTCTCAGTTAACTCATGACCATCCATTGTCCCTGATGAGACCAGCTGGTGGTTAAGTGATGAGTAAAAGGCCTCTGCTTCCGAGTCTAACTCGGAGTAAGAAGAGTCAGACTCATGATTTGGAGAAACATCTGAACTTCCATTACCAAAGCTGAGAACAACATGTCTTCTGTCAGACTCTGGAGTTACAGGGGAAGATGCACTTTGGTCCAAACCTGAGAGTAAGATTCGTGTTACGAACATAAACAAACATAATCAGTGAGAGACATGAATGAATAAGACAAGATTCACGTACCTGGTGAGGTTTCTTCAAGCGAATTCTCTAACCACTCACGTGAATCATCAGAGATCACTTGTCCAGTTTCTGTGGGAGAATCCATCTACACAGTTAAACAATGGTTAAAACAATGATCAAGCAAACACCAAACGAACTACAACAACACTCAGAGCAAAACAAGAAACCAGCTTTCGTAAAAAACTATCATTTTCCCCAACATAGAAACAAGTGAAGACAAAGAGAACATGCTCCTTTAATCACAAAATTGCAGGAAATTAAAAAACTATCCCTTGATCCTTTCACCTCAAAATTCAAACTTTTTGAAGTTATTTATTACTTTTAAACAGAGATCACTAGTTTCAACATGAAAAATCAAGTCTTTTTTGAACAACTCTGTCTCTGTTCATCATAGAAACAGAGTGAATAACTCAGATCATAAGATCTACCAAACCTCTAAGTCCCAATTCCACAATAACAGAGTAAAACATATGATCTACAAACCTGAAATTGATTAGATTAAGAGGAGAGAACGTTCAGATTGCAGAGGAAATGAAAGGGGATAGAAACAGAGGATGGTTTCTTTATGAAGACGATTCTAGGGTTTTTAGAGTTACGATGCGGAAGAAGGTATAGGGAACAAGGAGGCGTGAAAAAGGAGGGAAGATTTGTCGGGTAGTGAAGAGAAAGTGGCGCTCTTTGGGATTCAAATGTTTGCCATTTTCTCCCTTTTGTCAACTTACAGTCTGTCTTCTCTCTCTCTCTCTCTCTCCCCACCACACATCCCCACATGCAGATGACCTACACTCAAACCAATTATTGAACTCGGTTCGATTCGGTTAAGCTCTCTTAAAGCTATTTGGATTGATCATGAACCGTATGTTGGGCCTCATTCTCTTACATTTGGGCTTTTAAAATTTTGGCCCATATAGTATCGTCTTCATTTATCCATATGCGCTTTTTTTTTCACTCTTTACTGACACTGTAACTCTGTAACTAAAAAAAACGACTGTGGAGTTGTCGGTGATTGTGATGGTGGTGGTTGCTTGGTTGTCTATGAAAATGATTTATTTATTTATTTTTCTCTACCGACGGATATGATTTGTTACAATATTAAATATTTTAAAAATCTGTAGAGTGACGAGCAGAGACAAATAGCAGCTTGCATAATATAGCAAGCCATCTAAAGATTCCTCCTCCTTACTTACATCTATACTCTCTCTTTGAATCGCATTCAAAGAGAGATCTGAATAGTCACACATCATCGCAACGACTCCATTTTCAGATCTCATGGTAAGCTTCACTCTTCTTACTCCGATCTCGTTAGATCTAATCGCAATTCGATAATCCCCTGCAGATTTGAACTATCTCGACGATTCGGTGATCGTATAAGCTAAATTGACGATGGAATCCGATGGAGAAACCGCGGTATGTGCTTGCTTAATCATCATCGTCATAGAAACTGATTAGAGTAGATTTTGTTTAGTTTCTGTATTGGATAGAGATCTGATTTGGAGTTTCTAAATTTGGAAATGTGTGATTCGACTTGTTTTTATCGTAGGGGAAGCCGATGAGTAGCGTCGGTGTGCAGATTTGCCAGATCTGTCATGATAATGTTGGCGAGACTGTTGATGGAGACCGGTTTGTAGCGTGTGATGCTTGTAGATTCCCGGTTTGTAGGCCTTGCTATGAGTTTGAGAGGAAAGATGGGAATCAATCTTGTCCTCAGTGTAAAACCACTTACAAGAGGCACAAGGGTTAGTAGATTCCTTTTTTGATTAAAGCTTTGGATGATTAGATTTGGTACTTAACTAATAGTTTGTTGATTTCTGTGTGTTTAGGTAGTCCTGCTATTCCTGGTGATAAAGACGAGGATGGATTCGGTGATGAAGCTACCGTTGAGTTAAGCTACCCGCAGAAGGAGAAGATTTCGGAGAGGATGCTTGGATGGCATCTTACACGTGGCAAAGGGGAGGAGATGGGGCAGCCTGAGTATGACAAAGAGGTTTCTCACAATCATCTCCCTCGTCTCACTAGTAGACAAGATGTAAGGCATTGCCATTTATTCATTCTTCCTTATGCAGTTGAGTTTTGGTTAATCTGATTTTGTTTGTGGTTTGCTTATTTTTGCAGACTTCAGGAGAGTTTTCTGCTGCCTCACCTGAACGCCTCTCTGTTTCTTCTACCATAGGTGGTGGAAAGCGCCTTCCCTATTCCTCTGATATCAATCAATCACGTAAATATCCTTATTTTACTTATTATCTTGGCTGTTAAGTTACCTAGCTAGGCTTTTCGTTTATGTCAAAGCTCTGACAGTAAACTATGTTGTCATTCATGCTTGTAGCACATAGAAGGATTTCGGATCCTGTTGGGGTAGGGAATGTAGCTTGGAAGGAGAGAGTTGATGGCTGGAAAATGAAGCAGGAGAAGAATAATGGCCCTGTGAGCACCCAGGCTGCTTCTGAAAGAGGTGGAGGAGATATTGATGCAAGTACAGATATCCTCGCAGATGAGGCTTTGCTGTGAGTCATTGTTTCTTTATCTCGTTTGATCTGTCATTGCATAATCTAAGCACCTTTCCTACCAAGCAGTGTCTTGATGCTTATTTTCCATTTTTGTTTTGTTTTGTACAGGAATGACGAAGCGAGACAGCCTCTGTCAAGGAAAGTTTCGATTCCTTCATCAAGGATCAATCCTTACAGAATGGTTATTATGTTGCGTCTTGTCATTCTATGTCTCTTCTTGCACTACCGTGTAACAAATCCAGTGCCAAATGCCTTTACTCTCTGGCTGATCTCAGTGATATGTGAGATCTGGTTTGCCTTTTCCTGGATTTTGGATCAGTTTCCCAAATGGTTTCCTGTCAACCGTGAAACCTACCTCGACAGGCTTGCTTTAAGGTATGTTCTATTTCCCTATTCTTCTGAGGCAATTACTCTAAAGGTTTGACTACCTGTACTATTTCCCATTATAATCTGGTCATGCTCAATTTTGGAACAGATATGATCGTGAAGGTGAGCCGTCACAGTTAGCCGCTGTGGACATTTTCGTGAGTACTGTTGACCCCTTGAAGGAGCCACCCCTTGTCACAGCCAACACGGTGCTCTCTATTTTGGCTGTTGACTACCCGGTTGACAAGGTTTCTTGCTATGTTTCTGATGATGGTGCTGCTATGTTATCATTTGAAGCACTTGCAGAAACATCAGAGTTTGCTCGTAAATGGGTGCCATTCTGCAAGAAATATAGCATTGAGCCACGCGCACCAGAATGGTATTTTGCTGCGAAAATAGATTACTTGAAGGATAAAGTTCAGACATCATTTGTCAAAGATCGTAGAGCTATGAAGGTAAGCTCTTAGTTTTAGATATGTAGTCGTCCTCATTGTTAGTATATGATATATTGACCTTTTATTTTCTTGCAGAGGGAATATGAGGAATTTAAGATCCGAATCAATGCACTTGTTTCCAAGGCCCTAAAATGTCCTGAAGAAGGGTGGGTTATGCAAGATGGCACACCATGGCCTGGAAATAATACAAGGGACCATCCAGGAATGATCCAGGTAAGAGAAATTGGGTTTTAAGAAACGAAATCGACTATGCTCTTTCTCTCTCTGTTTCTGGAAGTTCATTGGTGAAGTAGCAATTGTTGAATGCAGGTTTTCTTAGGGCAAAATGGTGGACTTGATGCAGAAGGCAATGAGCTTCCACGTTTGGTGTATGTTTCTCGAGAAAAGCGACCAGGTTTCCAGCACCACAAAAAGGCTGGTGCTATGAATGCACTTGTACGTTTCTGATCGTGTTTTTTTTTTACTTCTTTGTTCTTTGAACAATATTTGTTAGTCTAATCGGGGTACTTTACAAATGAACAGGTTAGAGTTGCAGCAGTTCTTACCAATGGACCTTTCATCTTGAATCTTGATTGTGATCACTACATCAATAACAGCAAGGCCTTGAGAGAAGCAATGTGCTTCCTGATGGACCCAAACCTAGGAAAGCAAGTTTGTTATGTCCAGTTTCCACAAAGATTCGATGGTATCGATAAGAACGACAGATATGCTAATCGTAATACCGTTTTCTTTGATGTAAGCCACACATCCCTTACCTTATACATACATCTAACTTTACTTCTTCTTTCGAATTGGTTTTAGACATGAACATACATTTTAAACATTCAGTTTCCTGAGTTTTTCTGTTATTCTTCCGTGTAATGTTTTCCAGATTAACTTGAGAGGTTTAGATGGGATTCAAGGACCTGTATATGTGGGAACTGGGTGCGTTTTCAATAGAACTGCATTATATGGTTATGAACCCCCAATAAAAGTAAAACACAAGAAGCCAAGTGTCTTATCTAAGCTCTGTGGTGGATCAAGAAAGAAGAATTCCAAATCTAAGAAAGAGTCGGACAAAAGTAAATCAGGCAGGCATACTGACTCAACTGTTCCTGTATTCAACCTCGATGACATAGAGGAGGGAGTTGAAGGTACACCTGTTTGTATTTCTTCTTTGTCTTCTAGTTAAATCCATAAGTTATTGTTGAGATTTTGACCCAGGGGAGGAGTTATCTTCAGATAATTGCAAAATGCTTACAATTTTAAAATAGTTCTCAGATTAGGTAACCTCATCATATCCTAATTATTTGACATTTGTAAAACTCAGGTGCTGGTTTTGACGATGAAAAGGCGCTCCTGATGTCACAAATGAGCCTTGAGAAGCGATTTGGAATGTCTGCTGTTTTTGTTGCTTCGACCCTAATGGAAAATGGAGGCGTTCCTCCTACAGAAACTCCTGAAAACCTTCTCAAAGAGGCTATCCATGTCATCAGTTGCGGTTACGAGGATAAGTCAGACTGGGGAATGGAGGTATTTTCTCACTTCAACACCTAACATAAAACTGCAATGTTCTGAGATTACCTACTTAAGCACTCACTTTGTTTATCTTATGTAATGTCCTTCTTCAGATTGGATGGATCTATGGTTCTGTGACGGAAGATATTCTGACCGGGTTCAAAATGCATGCCCGTGGATGGAGATCCATTTACTGTATGCCAAAGCTTCCGGCTTTCAAGGGGTCAGCTCCTATCAATCTTTCAGATCGTCTGAACCAAGTGCTGAGGTGGGCTCTAGGTTCAGTTGAGATTCTCTTCAGTCGGCATTGTCCTATATGGTATGGTTACAGCGGAAGGCTTAAATTTCTTGAGAGGTTTGCGTATATAAATACCACCATCTACCCACTCACCTCCGTACCTCTTCTCTTGTATTGTACATTGCCCGCCGTTTGTCTCTTCACCAACCAGTTCATCATTCCTCAGGTTTGACACACCCCTCTCTCTCTTTTGAACAACCTCTAATTATGTTGCAAAACCTTATGAACCATTGTTCCTCATTTGCAGATTAGTAACATTGCAAGTATATGGTTTCTGTCTCTCTTTCTGTCTATTTTCGCCACGGGTATCCTGGAAATGAGGTGGAGTGGCGTAGGCATAGACGAATGGTGGAGAAACGAGCAGTTCTGGGTCATTGGAGGAGTATCCGCTCACTTATTCGCCGTGTTTCAAGGTCTCCTCAAAGTCCTAGCCGGTATCGACACAAACTTCACAGTCACGTCAAAAGCTTCAGACGAAGACGGAGACTTCGCGGAGCTCTACTTGTTCAAATGGACTACACTTCTGATTCCACCGACGACGCTGCTCATTGTAAACCTCGTGGGAGTAGTTGCGGGATTCTCGTATGCCATCAACAGTGGATACCAATCATGGGGACCACTCTTTGGTAAGCTGTTCTTCGCCTTTTGGGTGATTGTTCACTTGTACCCATTCCTCAAGGGTTTGATGGGGAGACAGAACAGGACTCCTACGATTGTTGTGGTCTGGTCTGTTCTCTTGGCTTCCATCTTCTCCTTGTTGTGGGTTAGGATCGATCCCTTCACTAAACGAGTCACTGGCCCGGACATACTCGAATGTGGAATCAACTGTTGAGAAGTGAGCAAGAATCAATCTTCTTTTTGGGTTTTAAAAATACAGAAAATATATAATGTTATTGTTTTATTTGTTAACGGTTTATTTATCTTGTTTGTGTGTATTGTCTCTGTTCTTGTTTCGTATTTGGGCTTCATGTGTAGAATATTTTACTCTAGTTACTTTTGGAAAAGATTATTAAGTCAAAGATGAATATTATTTTTAGTGTGTATAAATTGGTTAATGACTTTAAAATCGTACCAAATCTATGGGTTGAGTTTTTGACCATATGGTCAAAGTATTTAGACTATTTAACGACGTCGTTAAGGGCAATGGAAATAGAGTTTACAAATTACAACTCTTAGACGATCTCGTCTTTTCTTCCTAGTCCTACTCCTATTGTTAATGTGATAACACAGAGAAGCTCATATATACAATAAAAGATTGCCCTATAACAACCCTTTTGTTCGTGATCAATTCTCTTCTAACACATCAACCTTGTAATTCGTAAGTAATGCTATTCATCTACATATTCTCTCTCTTGATACTTTTTATGACTTCATTAGGTTGTTTTATTGATTAATTAGCTTCTGTTAACAACGATTGCCCTAATTTTATTTACTTGAGCTTTACGAAAACTAGGGTTTATCTAGGGTTTAGACTGCTTTAAATTTAAAACGACTTTGTTTACTTCTGCAGTTCGATGATATTCTCCACAGTCCGTGGAATAGGATCGTTATTAAAACCTAGAACTTACAATACACCAATAGATGAAGCCGCCAAGGGAGACACAAAGATATTATCAGTGTCCTGGAACCAAGACTGGAGCGGTTTCATTGTCGGAACAGAACGTGGCTTCAACGTATATAGCTGCAACCCAATCAAACAAAGCATAAACCGTGAAACACACAAATCCGGCTTCAAGATCGTGGAGATGCTCTTCCTTTCAAACCTCTTCGCTCTTGTTGGCAACGGTTACAGCAACTCAGAGTATCCACCTACCAAAGTCTTCATCTGGAATGATCATACAAACAGCTGTTTCTGTGAACTCGGTTTTAAATCACACGTTTTGGCGGTGAAACTTAGGAGAGAACACATTGTGGTTGTCCTTGAAACAAGTGTCTATGTCTATAGTTTCAATAACCTCAAGGTTCTTGCTCTGATAGAAACCGTTGTGAATCCTAGAGGGCTTTGTTGCGTCTCTCAAGTTGAGGCTAAAGCAGTCCTGGCTTGTCCCGGGTTACACCCGGGACAAGTTCAGGTCCATGACTTGAGAAGAAATATAGTCAAAATCATCAAAGCACATGATTCTGATATTGTTTGCATGAGTTTGACTCTTGATGGAAGTTTGCTAGCTACTGCTAGTACTAAAGGAACTCTTATCAGGATCTTTAACTCTCTTGATGGTACTCTCTTACAAGAGGTAACTAAATCAACCATTATGTTATAACCTATGTGGGTTTTTTTGTTAGTGTTATATATTTTTTTTGTTTTTATTGTGTAGTTTAGAAGAGGCATGGAGAGAGCAGAGATTTATAGCGTTGCAATCTCTTCTAATCTGAAATGGGTAGCTGCTTCAAGTGAGAAAGGGACTCTCCATGTGTTTCATCTGAGACCTGACATTCTTAGTTCACCAAAAAATATCAATCGGTCTTCATCATTACCATTATTAAGAGGTAAAGTGTTTGTTGAAAAACATGTATACATCTATAATATATTATAGCCTTTTGACATTTAAATTTTTTGAAAAATTAATACAGGGATCTTGCCAATGTATTCTTACGGCAATGAACGGTCGTTTGCTCAGTTCTCGTTGCCGGTTTCAACCAAGTTTATGGTAGGTTTTGGAGTAGAGAACACAGTTCTACTCGTAGGCATCGATGGAAGGTAAAACTATCTAGCTCTTTGGTTTCTTTATATATATGACTTGTCTCTGCATGCTTTTGGCTCTTACTGTTAATGGTCTGATGGTTTTTTTTTGTCGGAAAATGTATAGTTTCCGAAGATGCAGGTTTGATGAAGGAGGGGAGATGGTGGAGTTGGAACACAAATGCTTCTTCTCCTTAACACAAACAGACGACGCAGTGGTTGTGATGTAACCAACACAACGCATTTTTCTTCTACTCCTTTTCTAGATTTTGTGATTTTTGTTAAATGTGATGTGACTTGCGCCTTACGAAACCTGTGGGAACAATCTTGTCTTACATTATATCAGTTTTAATAGTTGATATCTTTATGTTTTGTAACCATTTTATAACATATATACTAATGCATTTGATTTGTAACAAATATTATTGAACAAATTTATATAGAAAGATAAGATGGAAGAAAAGAAAAGATAGATGGTATGATATAATGTGATCAGATTCAAGTCACTTGGAACGTTTGGAGATGTTCATAAAGATGCCATTGGGGAAGTGAGCACCTGGTACACGAATCACCTCGCAGTCTTTGGATAAAGAGAAATCATAAGTGGTGACAAGATGATGAATGAATAGTGAAATCTGAAGCCTTGCAAACTCTGAACCAGCGCATTGTCTGGTTCCTGCTCCAAACACCATGAACGTTTTAGACCCAGACCGCAATTCCTTCCCCTGTCCATCATATTTGTCATCAGAGCATATGTATTTTATATTTAAACTTTAGGATTTGAAAAAAAAAAACGTAATATAAGTTTTCTTTGGAACACTAATATATGTTATTTTTACATAGACATATAATAGACTAGAGTAAGTGTTTAATACCTCCCATCTCCACGGATTAAACTCAAATGGATTTTCATATATTTCAGGATCAAAATGAACCACCGAAGGTATAACCATCACTATCCAACCTGCTGGAATCGTATATCCTGTTGGGACAAAAAAACTCTTTTATATACTAGGAATAGACACGGGACAATATTACTTGATATTTTTTAGATACTTTCGACTTAACTTGGCCGTTCAAGTATATGCAGCCATTAAAATCTCAATACTTAAAACATTTTCAATAATAGTGAGTTTGATAGGATTTTAATAAATTGTTATCTGAATAATGAAGGATTTTAAATTATTTCAAGTGATTTTACATTGTAATAGTAACAGTACTTGCCTTTTATTTCCACATCTTTCACCACTTTTCTAAACATCATAGGAGCCAAATTTGTCATTCGAAGTGACTCGTGGATAACCTAGAGAATGTAAACAAAAAAAACACCTTGTGAATGTGTACTATATAGCCTTGGATGAAACCAAAGTGAAGTTATCAACGTACCATGTTGGTGAAAGTCATCTTGTGTCTGTATTCTTCCCAAGTAACTCCACCTTCTTTATCTTCTCTGTTCGCAAGGATTGCCTCATGCTCTCTCTGTTAAATAAACATTGCATTGGCCAATGAGTCGAAATATTTCTGTGCTGATTTAGTAAGATCTTGACTACTATATCATATAAAATTTGTCCTTTTAGCCTATTTTTGCTTTATTTAAAATTTATTTATTCTATTATCTTATAATTTCGATATTATATTATAAGATAATTTGGCTAGAGATTATTTAATTGATGATGCTTTAAGGCCCCCCCTTTTCATTAAGTTTAACATATGTTATGGTTTTTAAATACGGTTTTTAATATACAAAAATAATAGAAATCCAATTTATTATTCATAATATTTAATCTAATAAGCTAATTAACAATTTAACATAATTATTTTTTATATGTATATTATGTATGTACAGTTATTTGGCCTCAGGCATCCAAATAACCTCGCACGACACTGATTACTAATTACTATACGTACCTTCAACTCTGCGAGAACTTTTGGGTTTTCCGATATGAATTTCACAGCCATGCAAGTGGCTTTAGAGGTGGTATCTTTAGTGATACATGAAAGAGTGAAGATGAGGCTTACAAGCACATCTTCGTTCACTGAGCTTCCTTCTTTCTCTAACTCTTCTAACGTTGTCTCGAGGAAGTCATCGTACTTCTCTCTTGATGTTTTTCTCCTCGTGTAAATATCCTTTATCAACTTCATCCCCTGTCTGCATGCCTGCATACGATATATATAGAAATCACGTTTGTGTTATCTCCCCGAGAGAAAACCATGAAAAACTGTAAATCTCACCCAAAGAGTATTGTAGAGACCCCTCCCTGCAGAGAGAATATAGGATGTTCTAAACCAATCAAAACTGAAGGCTTTGAAGCTTTCCATAAGCATTGATTGAGTCTCTGGTTTGAGACCACTTATCACTTTTGGTGTCAAGTGTATTGTTATCAACTACAAAAAAATCACAACAGAAGTGTCAACTAGCATGCAACAACATTACCCTTTAAGCCAATTAAAAAGCAAAAAAACATTAACACCTAGGCAATTGAAATATTGAGATATTTTCATCCATTTTCATTATAAGTGTCGTTTAAAGTTTTTATACACGAATTAAAAAAATAATTAAATTTTCTATATTATCCCTATCTAATATATTATTTGTTTGATTTTATACACTAATGAGTTAAAGTAAGGGTAAAAACTAGAAAAAAATATTTAATATTTACTTTGAAAATGCAAAACGACACTTATAATGAAATAATTTTAAAAGCTAAAACGAGATTGAATATGAAATGGGAGAGTAATGTATATAAACATCGATCCCTATATTTATAAAACAAAAATTATTAAAATATTTATAAAATAGCCCATAGCCATCAAAATTATATAGTCGGAATTGTTGAAGACAAAATAAAAGTAAAAAAGAAAGAAAGAAAGAAAGATTACACTTGAAACTAGGTCCCTGAGGTCGAATCTTTCTTGGCCTGCCTTCAAACGAAGATGGTCGCATGTCACGCGATCCATATCGTTTATTATCTTGCGCTTCAAATTCTCTGAGCCCAAAAGACGCATACAAATTTGTTTGATTTTCTTGTGGATGTTTCCTGTCTTAAAGAACAAACTCTCTTTTCCCAATGGCCTCACTAAACCATCTGGATAACTTAAATTAAAATACTTGTTCTCTTGTCGTAAAATATCTAAGTTCACATCCATATCCGTAGAAATCACGGTCTTAACACCAAGAATGCTAGTCCGAAACAAAGGCCCATGCCTGAAACACTCACACAACACACAAACATACAAGATTTTATCTCTAAAGAAATGATTATACTGTACTATATCATATACACATATATAAATGACTGAAACCTGACCTTAACATCTTCTGCTTGAGAAACGGGGAGATCCCGTAGAATCCATAAGGCTTAAAAAAATCGAACGTCTCTCCGATTATGGGGAAACCCATTGATCCCGGAGGTAACTTGCCATTAGACTTGGGGTTTGACCATCGGTACCACCAATGGCTAAGCCTCACAACCACTAGGGCAGTAACACACAATCCTGTGATCCAAAGCAAGCTCATGTTACTGTGCCTTCAACAATGCGCATTGGTGGGGCGTATATATAGATGATGAATCCTAAATGAAACACTAAATTTACTTACGTGGATAGAAGAATGTCACAGGTTATTAAAACTCGCCTAAGTTCCTAACTTTAAAAACTCGCCTAACTTTATAAAATAGTTTGATACCGTAAAAAAATTATAATTTACCAGATGACAACTTATATTAATTGGTAATATTAAAAACTCTAACATAGTTAATTACTTATTTAGGTTCTTTTTAATATAGAAATAAAATAGAGTTTCAAATTTCAATAAATAGCAATATTTTCTTCTAAATTTTTCAACTTGTGAATTTTGTTTGATAGAGATGGAATACATTTAATGTTATCTTATCTTAATAATGTATAATTACTTTCACTAAACTACATAGAATATAAAATGATAAATCAAAATACTTTGTGTCAGTAGAATTAATATGATTCTTCTTAAGATTTAAGTAGTTTACATGCAGCAGTTGCGTGTATATGTGTAGAAATTTGCAGATGTGAATGGTTAAGGTTATAAAAAAGAATGCATTTGTGGGATAATTACTATTCATTAACAGATATATACATGAATTATTTAAAAATGAGTTAATAAATTAAATTTTATATAATTATAAAATAGTAAATTATATTGCTATAATAAAATTAAAATTGTCTATTTATATAACTAGTAATAGCATGTACATTTATTTATTTTATTTTACTTAGATGGTAATTATAAATTTAATCGAGATAGTTTCCTTTTATCAAAATCAATACTAAAATTTTAAAAATTAATTTGAAACATTCATATGTATGTACTATATATATTAGTGATTAATTAAAAAGTTATACAAAATATTTTGGTTAAAGTCTTATAAATATAAATTATGATTGTCATCAGTGAATCCAACTAAAAAATCACAAAGATATTTATATATTTATAATTCTACTATCTTAATTTGAATTTAAGTTCGTTATGTAATTTATTTTAAAATGCAACGAGATGGATAATATTTTGTGTGATTGTAATTAGCTAATTAACAACAAGACTTAAACCCTTAAACTATCTCGACCACCGCATGAAAAAACTGCCTTCCTCTCTACGACTCTACTAGATGTTTTGCCCGCACATGCGGGCTTAGCAATTTATAATTACTTATTATTAGTAAATGCATTACTAACTAAAATGCTATAAAGATATATTTTTATTTAGATTTTCATTATTTTAATATATTAATTTATTTATTTTCAGTTTTTGAATTTTTTTTTTTATAAAATATACTTTTGGATAACAACACAATATATATAAGAATTATCTTTTTAAAATAAAAACTATTTTAATATATTAATTTATGTATTTTCTGTTTATGAATTTTTGAATTTTTTTTTTATATAAAAGATATTTTTGGATAACAACACAATATATATAAGAATTATTTTTATAAAATAAAATCTATATTTTAGATTTTGATTAATTCTTATTGTTATTAATTTTAACAAATAATCTAGTAAATGAATATTAAATTCGTTTTTTATTTTTAACTAATTTATATAGTTTATTCATTCACGGTATAATCGATATTAGCCACTCTAACTTTTAATGTGAGAGTTCGGTTAAGAAAATTACTTCGCAAATAATAGTATAGATACGTTTCATTGCACAATTTTATCGTTTTGACATGACAATTTTAAGGTCCTACTTCTTGTCTCCCACAGATAATTACAAATGGCCTCATAAACAAGAAAATATCCCGCACAAAAGAGAGGAGCATGTGATAAAAGGGATGAAAACAAGAACAGTCGTTTCAATAAAAAAACAGAAAAACAAGAACAGACGAACAAAAACAATAATAGTAATCGAGATGTTGACAACAAAAAAAAATCTCAAAAAAGAGATGAAGGAGAATTTTTATGTTTACATCATTATTGACACATTATTGATAGCATATACATCTTTATCTTCATTAAAAAGACATTTTCACAAATATCTTTGTCATGAAGAGACAAAAGACTTTTATATCCTTATTTTATATATATAACAAATAATTATTTAAATAAATAAAAAATAAAATATTTTTTTTATATTTTTGAATTATATGTTTTCAAATTCGATTTTTTCCAAATTTTTCTTTCAATTTTTCGAATATTTTTTCACATTTTCTTTTTTTGAAATTCAAAAAAAAATTGAAATTATTTTTTTTCAATAATTTAAAAAATTATATTTATATATTTATTAGAATCCTAAATTCAACGTTTCAAAACCCTACTCCACCCTCAGCTCTAATCCTAAGTCTTAGATTAATTAACCCTAAGATTTTAAGTGTTTATTTTTTCCTTTAAAATAAGAGTAATAATAGCTAAGATAAACATAAAAAGTGATATGAAGAATGTTGTATTTAAACAATCTCCCATGAATCAATTGTATCAGGCCACTATTTATATTTTTGTTAAAAAAAAAATCTTTTTTGTCTAGTGATAAAAGTACTCCGGATGGAGTTTTCGCCATGGGTTCATGTATCATTGACCACCTATAAACTTTTTTAATGACAAAAAAATTCGAATTTTTATAGGTCTCGTGGGATTAGTCTTTAGGTCTAGAAAATTTTTAGGATCTTCACAGTTATCAAAAAAAAATTGTTTAAGCTACAAAACAGGTTTTCGGGATTAACACATAACACCTTCAGATTAATTGGTATCATTTTGAGTCTTTTCATCTCTCTAATTGTATATTTTGTGGTCAAAACATAATCTTTTAAATTAATTGTTATTCCAAATATTAATAAAAACAATTAATTTAAAAGTTATGTGAATTGTATATTTTGTGGTCAACACATAATATTTTAAATTTATTCTAAATATTAATTTTATTAATATTTGGAATAAAAAATCATTTAAAAGGTTATGTGTCAAAGCTGATAAAAATGACTAGAAATGTCACTTTGATTTATGAACTAATAAATTTAAATAATGTGATAACATATAATATATGTCACATAAATTACCTAATATTGCATTATACTAGCATTACTAATATTATAAATAAATTTAAGAATATATTTGAAACAAATCAATTACATATATATTATGGGTTTTTTTTGGTGAAACATATATGTTTTTTTTATTAACCTGGGGGTATCCTAGACCCATGGAGAAGCTCAGACTAATCTTCAAGGGGAGGTGCGTGCAGCCCACGGATAGACCTTTTCTCTGGGTATTCAAATGGGCCCTAAAAGCATAGGCTCTATATCCGTGTTAGGTAACCAGGATAATTGTAACTTAGTTTCGTGCAGCAGGTGGATCGAACCTGAAACATGTTGGTGTCTCAACCCCGTCTCCCTATCACTCAACCACAAGTATCCGGTCTGAAAACATATATGTTTAGCACTCATGTGTTGTATTAATCATTAAAGTAATTGGTGCATGGGTGATTGGTGATTTGCTAAGGCTTCCTTTACCAAGATTGGTGATTGCTTTCGAACTGCAAGCGGGGTACAAACCCCATTTGCCTTGGAAGCTTTGCTGATGGAGATTTGGGAGACAGGAAAGAAAAAACAGAAAAGAAATATTGAAGTAAAGTAAAGACTCTAATACGAAGGGAGGATTGCTGTTAGAACTTAACACAGTAAGTACAGTATATGTTGTTTTTGTAACACTGTCTAGTTATGCTACATAAATTTAGAGAAACATTACATATACAATATTACAATTTAAAAAAATATTTTCTGTAAGTTTTTTTTTCTAATATTTTGTATAATTTGTTTTCTCTGAAAATTGAAATTCATAGTTTTTACTGTAGAAACATTAATGAATTATTGGTCAATCCCTAAACCTTTCAACTAGTATATGCTGTTTAAATGAATATTATGCAATTTGTATTTACCGGTGTCGTTGAAGGATGTTTACGTTTGTAAGACAAAGTGATTTTGCTCGTGACCCATATATCTTCAAATACAACAAAATATTTTTAAAAAAAATCAAATAACTATATCTTAATGTACATTTTAAACTTAGAAGTTTGATAACTCATGAATGACTGCAATTTTTTAATGTAGATACAAATCAATGCAAATGTCATTTTCAAAACTATTATTAATTAAAACTAAATATTAGTATTAATTGTCTCCGGTGAAATCTCGCCTCAGCTCGCTCATGCTCTTTCTTGACGTCATCGATCTCCGCAAATAACAAACTCTCCGGCGTAATCCCGCTTGTTTCCCTTGATTTTATTAGAGATTGATTCAGCCAGAGATTATTAAAATTTAAAGTTAAGGTATTAAAACTTGAAATACATGAAAAAATTCAAAGATCGTTTTAATTGAATTAGTGTTGATTGATACTGTCGAAGTATATTATTTTCTTTCACTAGTTGTATACTCTCCGCGCAAACGCGGAGCAGAGATTATTGTGTTTGCATGTATTTTTTTCGATTGTTGGTTTATTTAATTCTTCTAATAACACCAAATAATAATGAGATGAAAAAAATATAGCAAGAGTGTAAGGTGAAAATATTGTATATATAATGTGTTAAATGTTATTTATATGCGAAGTAAGGTTTATAGGAATAGTTAGACTATAATATAGTTTTTAGTGTGTAAAAGTCGGTGTCTATGTTTTTTTTTTGCTGTAAATAGTTTTTAGATCGTAGGTCAAAACTTGATATAATTATATATTTATAGTATTGATATTTGTATTAAATGATTTATCAATTTGAAAATACCCTTAATTAAGTTAATATTCGTTGTTTAAGTTTCATTAGATAGGTTATTATAGATGATTTTTTGTAAGTTTGGGTTTTGTTCATAAATGATGTGGCATTTTTATCTACGGTGCCATCGACTGTGGGAATCCATTCGCCGGAGTCTGGAGTCGGTGGTGAGGATTGTTTTCAATGAAATTATAGTAGCTATTAAAATATAAGAGAAATTACATATTCATTTAATAAATAACACAACTTATAGTAGCTTTTTAATTTTCTTTCACAAACAATTTTTT